TTATATGAGGAAAAAAAATACCACAGCTGTACGTGGAGAAGCGTCTGTCTTCCTGTCTGTCCTTCCGCCTGTCCTACCGACTCTTCGTCACATTTCTGCCCAAAAAACAGCGTCTGTCACCGGCGAAATACTTGCGGAGTGTTCAAACATTCTCCGTCTTGCGAGTGAGGGAGTCAGTTTACTGCTGGTGATTATTATGTAATAATTGTGTAATTTAGAGTGAAAAACGTAACTTCGTCACTTTCCAGGATGTTTGGTGGGTCAGGATCTCAATCACTACACGTTATAACAGCATCCACATGATTATAAAGTGTCCGCGGGTTTAGATTGACGGGGGGAGACAACTGGGAAACACCTTCAACACGGGCTCTGCAGTGATTGGCTTTGGTTGCGCACGTGGCTATGGTGGCTATGGTGGCTATGGTAATGCTAGCGGAATTCGGAAAATAATTTATGAAACAATTTATTAACGGTATATTTGTAGTCCAAACAAAGCCGACGATGCACACTCTCAAACCACACAGCAGCCATGTGGAAACTCTCAGGTCAGTCTGATCCTGATCTGCAGAGATATTTGAGCCACACACACACACACACACACACACACACAGACAGACAGAGATTTCTTGCTTTATAGATAGAAGATTAATCAGAATCTCACACATATCTGGGCTCTTGAGAGTTAGGCGAAATAATATGTCTGTACAGTAAATATGAAGCTTATCCTGTCTGTACATAGACCAAACTGTACAAACAAGTTTCAGTTTTTATGGAGGGTTGTGGGACTATGTCTTGGTGCAGTGACAAGTCATATGTCTCTTCTGGTTGTAATGAGCCTTCTGTCATCTGCTGCTATCTGGTCTACTAAGAATACTGCACAGCTATATCTAAGAAATTCAAAGCATTTACTGTATTATTATCACTCCTTTATCTATTTGCATACAGTATCAGTACTGATTAGTTGTTTGTTATATGATCACTTTAAACAGGCTATTGCAATGCAATATGAAGAAAACACACAATGAATGCGTTCCTTTAAAGGAAACTGTATTCTTCCAACATGAACATATAGTTACAGTATATCTTGCCCCCTATTGTGCAGGCTCAGTGGGACCATAATAAGAACAAATCTAGAAAATGTTACACCTCACCCAGTCAAAGAAATTGTAATTAACATCATTCTAATTAGTGCAAAACATCAAACTTTAGCTAAATGCAAACAACTTGTAAGCAAAACACATGCAAAATGTGTTATTTGCAATTAAAAAAATTTCACAAAAAAAGCAAAACTGTTGCTCCCATATTATCTGAAATATACTGTAAGTCTATAAACTGGTGATATTAAAACATGACCAGTTTTGTTCCAAAAGGCACCTTGTATGACAAAAATGATTCCTTGCATAAAAGTAAAACTCAAAATGGAATATCACTGGAGTTATTGGCTATCTTGACTTCTTTACTAACAAAAGAGTAACCCCAGTGTAATGGTAACCTGGTAAACCTGTAACATTAACGTTCCATGGTCAAGAATGAACCTGTAACCTGCCTGTAAGCCGGCAGTATAACTAGGCCTATGTATTTTTCTACGGTTAACGTTAGCCAGTTGATGGGGGCAACGTAGATGTTTAACTTTACCCAACCTTTTTCTTTTCTTTTTTTTTTTTTTTACGTCATGTCAATGCCACTCAATGCAAACAGTGCGACAAGCAAACTAACATTCACTCATCTATTCAAATATTCAGATACAAAGTAGCAAGCTAATAAACGTTACATAGCTGATGCTGAGCTCAGCGCTCCTTTTGTTGGTGCCGTCCTGTTTGAAGTGTTTATAACCAAATGTAGTCACAAATGGTACAGCAGCAGCTGCAGGTGTGCCGCCATCCATAGTCGTCATCCGAGGTACTAGTGTCAATATGGTTACCATGGTTACCATGAAAAAGGAAGGAATCACATTAAGCCCGTCAGACGTTTCAGAGTTTCCTCAATATTAATACGCCAAAAAAGAAAACATAATGATTGTTCACGAGTCCAAAAACACGAGTCCGAGTCGAGTCCGAAGTCTTTTGAGCACGAGTCCAAATCCAGTCTGAAGTCTCTGTGTGTGCGACTTAAAACTTGAGTCCCTACAGTAACACCCCATAAATCTAAACTCACTAATGCTTTAGTTTTAGCTTGGATTTAACAACAAGCGAGACACAATATCAATTGTTATTGAGCTAATTATTCTAAAGAAAGTAAAAATTCTAAACACTGAGCCGAGTCCCTTTTCTGTTTTTCTCCACGCAGAAAAGACCATTGAGTGGGTGCTGCCCTACGAACAGTACCAAAACCAGTTGGTGGATCAGGCAGCTCTGATGCTGACCCTGTCTGGAAGAGTCAGTGAGACCCAGCAAGTATTAGCCAACCAGACCACCTTCAGGCTCCGTACACCTGACCTCAAAATCGAGGTAAGTTTTTAGTTTACAGTTCATTTTCAGGATAACTTCTAGTAACATTATTCAGTCTGGAACATGGGAAAATCATCTAAAAAGGTTTTGTTCAGCCCTCCTTACTCATTATGAATTTCCTTTTGGCAGCCTTTGGGAGAAGCTGTGGTTGGTAAGGAGATGGCGGCCAAGATTACCTTCACCAACCCCCTGCCACGTTTACTGAAGGGAGTGGTGTTCAGAGTGGAAGGCCTGGGTCTGCAGAAGGGCCATGAAGTGGTTGTGGGGTAAGAACACAAGAGCTCTCCCTCTCTTTTGCCTCCCTGTCTGTGTCACAGCCAGTCTAACATCCCACTCCTCTCTTCCTCTCAGTGACGTCAGCGGTCACTCCACAGTGACACTGACCGAGCATTTCATCCCCACCCAGCCCGGACCCAGGAAGCTGGTGGCGTCCCTCGACTGCAGACAGCTAACGCAAGTGCACGGAGTGGCCGATATCGTCGTTCTTGAGCAATGAGAGGGTGCTAGCGACATCCCTTCCTGTCCTGCTTCTCACCTTTTCCTCATAAAACATAAACTGAGAGCCTCTAATTATATGAAAGGTGTTCCTGTATCTTAAACTCGTCTTGTTTATTTTGTACTACAGATATTTTTAAAACTATAAATAGACAATTAACAACTGTAGCATTATCAGTATTATATTTTTTAACTTGAAATTATAACACTTCTGCCTTGCTCTTAATTGCCAAAGCTGTGGCGAAGTATGCTGCAGGGTTTAAATGCATGCACAGAGAAAGAAGTGCTTTAATTAACAAGCATTCATATATTGAGGTTATAAAACTGTCAAAAAACATTTGTGCATTTTAAGACACTGAACAAGTCATGTGAAGAAAGCCGGGTCCTGAACATTTGGTGATACTGTAAATACTGTATGTGTATTACTCATGTAGCCTGTCATAAGATGATGTGAAAAGTATTGTCAGACAAAATGAACCTCACGTGGCTTACATGAAGGAAGGCTATTGTGAGATGTTTTCAAAGGGAACGGTGATTGACATTTTGCAAGAGGCATATTACTGTATTATAATTCCCAAATGTTACATTTAACTTAAATGTGCAGTTATTGTTGAAAGATAAAATTATAATTTCCCCCCACAAATTAACAATGTAGATTCCAAAAATGTAAATCTACAAGGACATAAAAGGTTGTTGAATCATCACATGAAATGCAAATTTACAGCGCCTCCTTTACTTTGAAAACCCACGTTACCAATCATAAAACTGAAATGTCTCCATTAGCAGAATGCAAACCAAAATGTTCCCTAATTGAACCAGATGTTGTTCTGTGTGTTTTTTCTATCGTGTGTTTATAACAACACTTAATTAAAATTATATATATATTGCAACTTACCTACAAAATTGGACTTATCACTGCTGTGAATTCTAGCAAACCATATCAGGATGGAGACCACATCGTCCATAATTCACCTGTGCTTCTACCTGGTTCTAATCTGTTCAACTTCAGCACTCAAACTACAATGTGAAAAAACTATTTTAATAACATTACAGTATTTATCTGCCTTATCTACCTGTGTTTGTTTGTATTCTATGTGTTGCGTTGGTAATAAAACTTGTACGTTGATGACGTGATGACCAGAGTTGTTTTATACTACTTCCATACAACATTAGACAGGTCTGTACTGGATAAAGGGGAGAGAGGGTGAAATTATGACATTAGCCAGAGATCAGAAAAGAAGCAAGTGGCTACCTGTATTTTTCCATTTCTGCAATCTAAGCATTATTTACCTGGGGAAAAAAACGTGTTCTGCATAAAGGATGACATACTCTATAGTGACTCATTGCAAATGAGTAACTTCAGGTAGGTGATACACCTTTGCTACATATTATGATTTAAGATATAACTGACATATCCACAGGTACTGTGACTGCTATTTTATCTCAAAGGTTTTTACTTCTGTGACATTCTATGGTCAACAGTATTAGGTTAGATAGGGCTTGGCTTATCTTCACCATATTGTGATTCATCTCTTTTGCTTTCCTGTGTTTAATGTGCGTGAATATTGTAATATCATTTTGTACAGGGAAATATTGACTTTTTATTCCACTGCATTTATTTGACATATTTACCAGCTACTTTTCACATTAAAACTTTACATACAAAATGTATAACTTTGGAAAACAATGAAACATTAACACATCAGTAATACTAATCACATAATGATAATGTAACACTTTTATTGCTTAATTTTATTAAAAACACTTAACGCTTTTTTATTCATTTTTACTCGTAATGAAGTATTTTCACCTTCTAGTATGACTTATTTTACTTAAGTAAAAGATCTTTACTCCACAACATTTATCTGACATGTGACCATCTTATAAAATGAATATGTGGCTTAAGATTAAACTAATCAACAGTATGTTCCTACTGCTCACAGGCAGCATAAAGCACGCTGTAAACCTAATAAAAATGACACTTGTTACTGACCTCTACTGGTTGGGTCACAAAGTGCATCACGTGTGGATTTTTTTATGGTATCAGAAAAGGAAACATTTTGTCAAATAAGCTTTTATTGTTTTCATAGTATAAAATACAAACAGCTGTTTGATACTGTGGGAAAGATGTAAGAGAAAAGCAAGGATCAAAGAAACAAAAAAAGCTCATACAGTACTTAGTGTTCATGTCAGGCACATGTAAAAAGTGTCAATCTGTAGCCCTGTGGCTGCTCTGCAACACATAAACCCAGTGCATCCAGTGTGGTGCGCGTGTTTCACTTACTGTTAAAATGTAACAACATAATTTAGCACTGACTTAAGTGGTTTACTCATTACTCTGTATGAACACAGCGACAAACAAAATCATTATATAAATAAATCGTTTGCTAACAACACTTAAATGAAAGAAGCTTATATCAGCTGATAAATGACAAGAGAGATTTACTACAATAATATCAATAATAACAAATTACATTCAAACTCATGTTGAGCTACATCTCTAGATATGCCCCAAACGCAAACCCATCCCGCATGCTTCACATGCAAACGTTTCAATGCTAAAAACCTGCATGAATTGTCTGTATACTTCCAGTCCTTTAACACACACGCACGCACACACACACACACACACACACACACACACACACACACACACACACACACACCCACCCACAGACACACAAACACACACACTATGGCGGTCAGTCAACAGAGTCACATATACTTTCCACCACTCTGTTGAACTCCTCTGGTTGATCAGCGTACACGTGGTGAGAGGCTTCATTTATCAGCTGCACAGTGGAATATATGAGGAAATAAAGATCACAAGGAATTGAATTAAAATGACACTAATTTAAAGCTGACCTGCACATTTTAGGCTCATAATTGGATAATTTGACCCTCATGACTCTGTCTCTACTCTGCATCTCTACTCACCAGAACTTCAGTGTTGGCCTGGTCCCTGATCTGGACCACTCTGTCCCCAGACGAGCTGGCCACCCAGGATCGTGCTCCATACAGCATGGTGAGGGGCATGGTGGGGGGCAGCAGGTGAACCCGCTGCAGCATGGGCCTCTTAGCCCAGCCCAGAGACTCTGCCATGGCCCGGAAACCCACCTCACCACTGGGAAAGGGAGAGGAAATGGAGAGGAAATGGAGAGGAAATGGAGAGGGTGGTAGGTTGATAGGTCAGCTTTTTGCAGGCATTATGTTCTGTTACCAAAAATGTGACGCGTGTGTTGGCTGACCTTGGGGTTTGTGCGTTACAGTGGTAGATGTACTGCGTCATAGTGTCATCGTCAAACAGATCTTCAAATTTCCTTTTGAAATCAGGACGGAATCTGTTCACCAAGCCCGGACCTGAGTCAGAGACATACATACATAGATGAGTGCCAAGAGTATAACTTGGCACAGAGTGCTATTAGATAAACAGCAACATGTCTTACCCCACGGGCCTGCTGCTCTGATGACAGCCAGTGGGTTGAAGAGGGAAACCACTGCTGCAATAGCTTTTACCCAGCGCGGAAGGGGCGGCCTCTTCACCACCTGAGTCCCCTGACCTTCATCCTCTTGGGTCTGGGTCTGGGGTCGCTCGGGGAAACCCCAGGGGTCGACCAGGATAAGATGTGAAACTCTGCAAGAGAGCGGAATGCATTACAATATCCTATCAGCTGGCATTTATTTGTCACCAGGCATTTCTCATTTTGAATATATTGCTTGCCAGGTCTGTTAACTAGACTTTCTCCTTGGAACTCCTGTTTTTCCAACTATGTTCACCATTTAGTTGCTAACGTTGTCTGTCTTTGGTGCTTTTCGGGTAGTTTACGACGGGTTTAAAGTGGACAGAAATTATGTTTCAAGCCATAAAACCAAAACAAAAGAATGAAAAGCTCAGGAACTGCAGAGTTAGATGGTAATTCCCTGTGGGTTTGTCACTACAAGTGCCTCCTTTCACGTTACACATTTGATCCACTGGTAATATAAGATAAGTGCACCTTTAAGTTTTAATTAAAGGGATAGTTTAGCATTTTCAGACATACATTATTTGCATTCTTTCTGAGAATTAGACGAGAAGATTGATACCACTCTCATATCTGTATGGTAAAATAAGCCGGTTAGCTTAGCATCAAGAGGGGGAAAAGCTTGTCTGGCTAAGTCCAAAGTTACCAAACTCCACCAAGCAGCACCTCACTAATTAATGCTTTATATGCAAATATATGTTTTCGAGCTATGCAAGACCAATTTTACACGTTGTTGCATTCTGGAGTGTGTCAACTGAAAAATGGTAAAGTAACTTAAGCGTGACCTGGAGTCTGAGTGTTGCAGCTAAGCAGAACTGCAGCACAGAGAAAGCTAGCCCCTCTGTCCGGGTTCACTTGCGCTCAAAACCACCATGGCTGACCACTTTGATGAAGCTTTAGTTTTAACATGTTCATGTGCACCTGCTTATTCATGACACTTCACTCACCTCTTCGTTCAGGCAGGAATGTTTGTCTACTACCGTGGTCATAGAAATGCTCCGATAAGCTCTTTATTGCCCTCTTGAGGACTGATATTTGTTACATACACCGATGGGTAACAACAAGTTAGTGCTCTATGCTCTATCTCATGCTGAGGCTGAAGTCCTCCTCAAAGAAAGCACTAAATCACTGCCAGCTGCAAGTATTCTGCTCTGTAGCTGCCCCTGATTATGTGATGCTTTACATGGTATCCATTTAGTATTATTACCTTGAAGGGTACTGGATGGCGTAGGAGGCAGCCAGGTACCCCCCCAGACTGTGTCCCAGCAGAATCATGTTCTCCAGGCCTACAGACTGCCTCCACTGCTCGATCGAGTTGACAAACTGCTCCTCTGCTTTGGCAGCATCTGAGGGGAAGGGAGGCCTGGAGCTCCTGCCGAAGCCCAGGAGGTCAAACGCGTAAACAGGCCGCGATCGACTCAGCGCCTCTAAGTTCCTGATCCACAGGCCTACCCCTCCTCCAAAGCCGTGGACCATCACCAGGGGAGTCTTTGGGACTAGAGGAAAAGGAGGGTGACAGAAAAGACACAGACGAGTTATGTCACGGGTCTTACATCATGGCCTCCCAATAAACAAACAGACTGAGAGGAGGGTGGCACCTTTTTCTGCAGGTTTGCGCACCACCTTGTTGGTGAGGGTCAGAGTCCATATTCGATCCTGGTTTGGTAGGGTCACAAACCTAGCCCATAGGTCTTTCTGAATACCTGTCATGAGCAGACAAAGTGGAGTAATTATTAGTGTATCCTCAGTGAGGGTCTGTGTGAGGGTGTCTGTATTTTCTAGCTGGTTACATAACAGCTGCCAAATAAGAGTCATATTACACTTACAGAAGCTCACCATGTATGAAGGGTTAGCGGCTTAAAATTGCTTAGCTACATTTACATTAGTTTTTAGTGGTTATATAATCTGCTGGCACAAGTAAAAAATATTCTTACAAGCCAGAATCTTGGACTCTGTAGTCTTCAAAAGGGACATGGAGGTTGGACGCCAGGAAGGCCACCAACTCCAGACTGAACTTGACCTGGCGAGAGACAAAAACGAAGACATGAAAGGAAGGAGAATGAAGAGATAGTGGATAGTACAGAAAACATTAAGCGCATGCTGGAAGTACAATACTAATGCCACTGGTGCAAGTCCAAGGTTAAAGTCAGTGTTATCATTATTTGCATGGAGCACTCCTGCTACACGCCTAGGAGTGTCCCGTTTCACAGCCATGATGCTATCAATCACAGTCCGTGGAGAGACCCACAGCCATGACGCAGTGGTTAATATTTATCACATTTACCTCTGACCTCTTCAGAGTAATCGTCATCTAAACTTCAGGCAGTTAAGGGTGCAACACATACGATAGATGTACAACTATTACCAGCCTTTTGATTTTTGGGTAAGCCGAGTTGAGGTGGGTTTACTCCCCCACTTCCTCTCTCACTGGAGGTAGAAACAGGCCAGTCTCCCATTTCTACCTCCACCATCAATACAACAGGTACACCACCAGGCCCTTTCTACCTGTTCTGTAATTACAATTTGCTGAGTCATCCGGACAATGGGCTCACCCTGCAGTGTCACTCACAGCTGCTCTCCTCCCCAGTGAATGACAATTAAAAAAGACCTGTTTGTCAAGAGAGGATCAGGACAATCTCATTGAACCACTGCATAGACAGTATGCTGCTGCAGGGTCCTGGTTACTAATGATAACCCTAATACTCCTACAGTAAGCAGGAAGTGACAGTGACCCAGTGAAAGATAGCTTTGTGTCCAATTTACACTGAATTTAAATGATGACGTAAAGCTTACTGTTGTTTGCATTATGTTATATATATATATATTCATAGACTTACACAATATCTGAAAATTGGTTTCAGTTATTCTAAGTGTAATGTCCCATTGGTGTAACTCACCAAATAAGCCTGATTTAAAAAATATGTATTATTTTACATATCAACAGGCTGGGTGTGATTTAGGTTCAATGACACAGCGCCCCAGTCAAGTACAATATTACATAGATATATGAAAGAGTGGCGACCCATGACATTCAGCTTTTAAAAGTTTAGCCAGCATATGATGGAAGCTGGCTGTATCCGGCTGTATGTTTATCTAACTTACTTACTCTGTCTCACAGTCGTTCTGCAGCTGCGCAGCTGTGGTCGTAGCAGGATCCATTGGTTGACATATTCCAGTCACTACATTCAGGTAAACCAAGTTATGAGGCTGGCGACACGCTCCTCTGTCTCTGCTTTCTAATGACACCACTACAGGCTACTTTCTAATGTTTTGTAACATGTACATTCCGAGGTCAGCTGACCGAGCACGGAGATCGTCTATTACGTCGATGCGTCAACAGTGCGCTGAAAGCGTCACTCGTCTTCCGTCTAATGCAAAGTCTGAAGAGGCGTTCAAAGTAGAGCTAGAGCTAAAGCTGGCTAATAGTCGTTAATATCCTGCGTTAATTTAACAACGACACAAACAGAGAGAAGTTATTTCTTATTTTGGCGTATTGCTGTTGTTATACACAGCGTTAGGGGCCTTTCGGGTCCCGGGGAAATTGGCGAGAGTACAGTTGACACGACTTCATCTTTCAAAACTGTCAGAGTGAGCCATCTTCATACGTTTTTACACCTCTCTGTTGCGCCAAGGAGCCCTTTCAACCACGGCTTCTCTCCGTGCGACCGGGAAGTTATTCTCAGTAACACCAAGGCCGCTTCCGGTTAATGAGGACACGTCACTCATTGGACTGGGGAAGAGGACCTGTGCAAAACTAGCTCATTGACCCATTTAGTACAAATTAGACACAATCATGTCGAATTCAGTCGTATCGGTGATTTCTCGCTTTCTGGAGGAGTACAGCACCACGACCCCCAACAAGCTGAAAGTGGTGGATGCATATTTGCTGTACATCTTATTGACAGGAGCGCTGCAGTTCCTGTACTGTCTGCTCGTCGGCACCTTTCCCTTCAACAGCTTTCTGTCGGGCTTCATCTCGTGTGTGGGCGCCTTCATTCTCGCAGGTAAACACTCGTTCAGTTCAATGTTCCTCTGAGTTGTCAATGAATTGTACAATGCGTCAGTTCGACGGTTTCCGTACTTCTGGTCCGGGAGTGACCGTGTGTGTGTGTGTGTGGAGACGCATGCTAGCTAACCAAGCTAAACACCTCAAGGGTTGAGTTGGAATTATACGAAAATATACCAAATAAACGTACTGAAGTGTGGAAATGTTCACACCTACACACTGCTAGAGTTAAAAAGTACACTCAGTTTCCTCTTTAGGCATACCTAGCTAAAAAAAGACACCAACCCCTGGCTTAATGAAGGGTAGGACAGTCCATAATCGTAGTAACAGTAACAGTAGTTTCTGTAGAGCGGCGTTGATTCACAGTTTCAGGTAGTGTTATTGAGTTGTTACACGTTGTACCCCAAGTGTGTGTGTTAAATATCTTAATATCATACAATTTATAATATCTGATGCAATACGGTTCAACAGCAGCACAAGCTGCAGAATCACCGTGCAGATTCAATGCCTCTCCAACAGTTTCAGTAAACCCTGCACACTGGAAGAATGCAGGTAGGCTCGGATCTATTGCAGGCCTCTTGCATCAGGTTTAGCTAGGTGTGCTTAAAAAAAAAAGTGGCAACAAGGTATGGCATTAGTGGAGGGCAGTTCAAACCCAGTTACTCACAGCTCATATTGGCACAACTAGATTACTTGCAAACTTCTCCATGAATGATAAAGCGGGTGAGATTGAGCAGTTGGGTTGAAATGATGGTCACTGCATTGAACTGCATGACTCGTTTGGCTATTAAATGTCAGAAAATAATGATGCTGGCAGCATTTTAGCATTTAGGTAGCAAACTTAGCTTTTATCTTTTAACCATCTTCAAAATGTGGATGTTTGGTTGTCCGAAGCCACCTGTCTGTAACAATGTGAGCAGAGCAACAACGGCACAGCCTTAGTTTCACTTCAAAAGGCTGACTTTGTCTACATTAGTGCCGAAGTAGAAACATTTAAAAGCCATGCAACTTGGGCTGTTTTATGTGCTAAACTAGCAAATATGGGGGCAAAAATGTAAGTTGAGGATAAAAATCTATTTCAGTAACATACCTTTTTAATGGGTATAAAGAGTACAAAAATAATACTAACCCCTCCATGTCTTGTGCTTTTTTCATAGTGTGTCTTCGCATCCAGATCAACCCACAGAACAAAGGAGATTTCCTGTCGATCTCCCCAGAGAGAGCTTTCGCTGACTTCCTATTCGCTCAAACCGTCCTTCATCTGGTTGTGATGAACTTCATTGGCTGAAACAGACGTGCCTCTGACTCTGTGTCCTCCTCTCAGAAGGTGTATATTTCATCTCATTTTTAGGAATTTTTAAAGTTGGATTATTTTTACATTACATGGCATTTTTGCTTATAGTTCGAACCACAGTGCAGATGTTCCAAGTTTTTCTTTTTTATTACTGACATTTGACACTTATTGTGTTGTTAGTTTATCTTCCAGCTGTGTGCTTCTCAGAGTATGGCCTTTCTGCAGCTGTTGGTTAAGAATACATCCTTGTTTGAGTAATTTCTCCCATAGGAAGTTGCAGCTAACGCTTTTTGGAGCCACTAATCAATTAGGCTTGAACATTCTTCAGTACTGACTGAAATACTTTGAAATAGTTGAAAACCAGACCAGTCAAGGATGAATGCCAAATACTTTAAAGTTCCAGTTCTTACGTTTTCACTCCTGGTTGATTTGGCGACACCTGCAGTTACTGGTGGCAACAGCAAGTGCAGTTCAATACTACCAGGCACAGAATTCTGGGGGCAGCAAAACAAGCTATTGTTGTTTTAATAAAGATGTCAGGGTATAACTGGCCTTTTCCATCAGTCTGTGAGGAACCGTGATCGGATTTTATGCTGCACACAGAATGAGTCTGTGAGCAGTGAAAGTGGCTGCTCCTTCTTGTTCTATTACTCCCTGCAGTATTTCAAACTGATCCACTGTCAAAAAATGCCAAAAATGACGGTTTTCTTGTTTTGTAGACACATTCTTGATGAACGTTAGCAGTCAGTGTTAAGATAACTGACAACACATTACATTTCCTGTGACTACTTCATAATAAAAGTCAAACTGTCTTTCACAAGTTAAATGCTTGCAGTAGGAAATGTTCAGTTTGCATTAGCAGTAACTTAATGTTGCATTTTCTCTGGGAACGTCGCCACAGGCACCCAGTTTATAGTCCTGCAAATATATAAATATTGCAATACTTTCAGCACTGGGCCATAGGCTCAGTCACGATTGTGTTACCTCATTTGGCAAGGACATAACATTTATTTAAATGAAAATCTTTGAGATTATTACTTAAAAGAATGTCTTTTTTACGAGCGTCATTATCCCTAAATATGACAAAATCTCTCTGGAAGGTGATGTGTGTGTGTGTGAGAGAGATATGTATCAGCATTATAGTTTAGAGTCTCTCAATAGACAATAAATGGGACATTTTAAGTGGGCTTTTATACAGATATATGCTTTATTGGTTTATGCCTTTAAAAGAAGAAATATACCTTTGTCCTTTGGGTGCCCTCAGTCACATTAACCATTCTTGCCAGTTCATCACTTAATCTCAGTGGAATGGCTCCAGATATTACATGTGATAAGACAGACATCACTCTTACTTCTCTGGGGAGATCCACATGATACCACATATTGCCTTGCTGGAAAGCAGTGTTATTGAATTTTCAGACTTGCAGGCTGGTGGAAAGGCCATACTGCATCCTCTTGTTTCCCTCCAAACAATGACTCCTATAAACTCTAATGTCACTAACCCCACCACCTCTTCTTTTTTTTTCTTCATAGATCACAACAAGAGAAGATATCAAAACTCCCCTTCAAGACATGATGCTACATCTACTTTTGTGCCACTGATTCGGACAGTCCCACCCCACCACCATCACTGAATTAGTTGCATCTTGTCATATATGATGCAGTACAATTTTCTTACTAATAATGGTTGATTTTGTTCATTTTTTTATGTTAAAATTTGTAAAGCATTCCCTTTTGCACTGGAAGAAGAAATAAAAAACAACTAAAATGGTGACCTTGAATAATGAAGTGGTTCTTGATTGAAAGGTGCTCCATTTCGTTTAGTTCATAACAGTAGACTTCAGTAACACACTGTGTGAAACAATGCCACAAAACATCATGCAGTGGTGTACTACAGTACCCCCCTCACCTGTCTTTATTAGGCTGACCTCTACATATTGCTTCAAATAGGACATTTTACATCAGGTTTGGGGGAGCTGGTTACAGAAAGAGAAACATCTGTTTAAAGGTTGAAAAGACAAAATACATTAATTTAGCTAAAATTGCCAGAAAAAGGGCTCCATCCCATCCATCAGGTCTGCTGCCTATCATGCTAAGAGAGTGGAAAGCAAGAACATTACACCCCAGAGCAATGAGAGGCTTTGCTTCTATTACTTGTTCTGGAATAACCGATAGAGTCGACATTGCAGCTCAATTGCTTTAAACTGTGCAGAGCTGTGGGGTGTGAATGTGTGGGCCAGTTTGAACTGGACATGAAACTGCCTGGCATTCACAGATGAAAAACGGACTGAATCCCACTCGTATTCCAGGTGTCTCCTGTAAAGGTCAGATCTAAATCTCTTTCTATGCTGATTTAATGGCAGACAAAGCCTCCTCCACATATTAAACAGATAACATTAGCATCGGTCCTTTTAAAAAGGGTTAGCATAAAGTAGTAAGAGTGATTCTGGGAACAGAGAGACTAGATTTTGGACACATTTAACCTGAAACAATCTAAACAAGGCAGGAGATACCACATTTCCAGGAGGGGGGGATGAGCCTTAATTCAGTGTGACTATGCCATTCAATAGACGTCTTGTCCTGCAGATAGGGTGGGAAGCTACTGTCAGTGTTAGAATTAAATTTAAATGCATTACACAAGTAAAAGCAGCAGCAGCACCACCACAATTCATTCAAAACAATACAATGCAATGCAAAAAAATATATAATATATTAATAATAATATAATTATTACTGATGCAGTTACATGTACGCTACATTTTAATGTTGGGATTTGTCGAGGTAAAGCTGATTCTAGCTATTCATATACTGTTTGACTGTTTAATTCAAAGTATAACAATAGAGTGCACTTTATATGCTTATCATGTTTTTAAAATCCTACTCTACAAAGTAACTTAAGCTAAATGTGGAGCAAAAGATAAAATATCTCCAATATATGTTCCCTATGGTACTTCTAGTGGAGGAGAAGTAGCAAAAAAGGATTAAAAGTAAGGTCTATAAGTTCAGTACTGGTTCAGTAAATGTCCCTGGGGACCCCACAAATAAACTGCTGTAAGAAACAACCATCAGAGCAAAATGTTAACACATTTCTTCCTAATACATGATGAAAAAACAAAACAGATTATTATTATTTTATGAAGGTTACAGTTCATTTGCAAATTGTGTAAAACTATGAAAGACAGAGCAAATGAGGAAATCTGTCCCTTAAAAATTACGACACAAATGAACTCAAACATGAACTCAAACATGAACTCCATAAATAGTTTCATCTTCCAAAACTAGATAAGCAGAAGTGGGTGCTTTCGACTGGGGTCCACCAGGACTCCAAAACATGAAAACAGGAACAGAAAACAATGATATGAAGGACACACTGATTGACAGAGTCCTGACAAAATGGAACGATGAAGCTCCTGTGAAAAGTACACAAAAAGTACACCTCTGGGGTAGCCTATTGTTATCACATTCAAACCAATAAAAAATATATATTAGAACCACAATAATAAAAGCATTATTTTTTCTTAAGCAGAACTGTATGCAAGGTTTACAAACATGAAGACATTTCAGAGTCAGAGCTTCCAAAAAAGTGTGGGAATGATGGCACAGAAATGGATAGAAAATCTCTCTTTTACTGACATTTTAATCCGGTTTACATATGAGACAGGAAGGAAAATTGTGATTATCTACTTAATCTTGCTTAGTTTGATGCAGCAATTCGGCAAAATAAAATCTATTTCAAGTCTCTTGTAACAGAGACAGATACTGTGTCTGAACCAGTCTTTCACAAAGTTGAAAGAACTGCCAGGATGATATGTCATGGGACATGACCGGCTGGAAATGATTAGTTTTGTGAAAGTTAAGTTTCGATTCTCAAATCTGCCTGACCGGACAGTTTCAATTCTGAGTTCTGTCTTTCCAGGAAATGGATGACCATAAAAGGCTCTGTAGTCAAAGCATAAAGCATGGGACTTAAAGGGACATCCTTGACACCCTTCACAGAGCAAATTGAGAGGCTTGGAATAATTGTTTGTTAATTCAGTGGCTGAGGGGGCTGTGTGTGGAAGCTTAATCCAACAAATGAAGACTGGACCAAATCCAAAGTTTTCAGGCATCGAAATCAAATTAGTTCATTGTAGCCTGCCAAATGAATTTTCTGCATTCATGGAGGAAAGAGTCTCAGCATCTGGTCGTTTGGGACAATAGGTTATTAACAGATGCGTAACACTGAAATAATAAAAGCAGGAGATAGGTAAAGATAACATACGTTTGTTAAAAGAATAGTTATATATTTTCCAAAGTAAGCGTATTCACTTTTTTAAAGATAAAGTTATGGTTTTACGAGTTATTTTCCACCGTAAACTTGATTATTTGTGAACTTCAGTGGTGCTACCGAGTTATCTTTAGAATAGATTTTGAAGCATAGGCCTACAACAGAAATACAATTTCGAAAACAAACAATTTTTATTGATTTTTAAAATTGTTCACACATTTTGCATTAGTGGTAGTAAATTCAACCATACTAGTCACTACCTTTGTTTGCCATTTGGTGCTAGGCAGCTAGCGTACAGAAGCTTTATCCAAGCTCACTGAAAACAGCTGCCTGCTGGTTTAAAATGAGGTTACGTTAAATATACCAAAGACTCGACAACCACGCTAACATTACACTAACTAACAACACAACAACAATGCTAACATGCTGATTTTTAGAAATTATAATGTTTACCATGTTCACCATCATAGTTTAGCATGTTAGCATTCTATTTTTGCCAATTGACACTACAAAGACGAATGTACAAATGTATGATGAAGAAATAATGTCAATATTTGGTCATAAACCAAAGTATTGGACAGAATATGATTTTAACCTGAGGATGGCGCTACATGAAAGTCAGGTGATCAGGAAGTGATTACAAGCTCAAGCTGAGGAGGAACATTATAATGTTCACTCTACACCCAACAGACTGATACACAGCTAAAAACATTCAGATGTGCACCTTTAAGAATACAGGTTTTTCCCATCCTTAAATGTTTTCAATCATCAGTTTGTTCCCCCCTTTTAAAACATTTTATGATCTGAGCAAAAATGAAAAGCAGGAGCCACATCATGGTATTTTACATCAGTGCTCCAGTAAGTGGATGCAGCTTTTGGGTATTTGCTAAAAGTATTTCTTACAACTGGCACTTACATGGTTAAAATCTGAAACATCTGGATCCAACTTATGGTCACATGACATTGGGGAAATGGGCTTTGCGGAACCTGGACACTGTTTACACAAGGCAGAGAAGAATTCACTTGGTCAACCGCAAACTGTCTGTGAAACATGACGAAGACCTTCATACTCGCCCTCAGCCTGTTACCATGGATCCCAGGTAAGAACTGTGACTACTGAGGTTATATGCTTACAAAGGTTGTACAATAATGGATGAAAGAAAGAGTTCTCAGAATGATTAATGTCTATTCTGCAAACCCTTCACTTTATTATTGTGCTTTTGGCAAATACTGGCGCTACATTTTAAGATGTTTCTTACCCTTTACTTCTCTTTAACATTGTATTACTTGTCTGTATTAATCATTTGTTGAAGACAAACTAGAAATGTTACCATTTTCTGTGGGAGCTGGACATAGAAAAGTGTTTGTTTTGTCTTTTAATCTTCCAAGCTTCTGTATACTGTTTGCCCCTTGGCAAGAGTATTGATGTTTATTTTGTCAGGTCTCCAAAGGCCTGTTATAGGCCTGTTATATTTGTCTCCCCAAATCTCTATTATAGAGGGATAATCCACTTTTGGAATAGGACGTATGAAGAGGGAAGTTAAAGTAGTGTGTTTTGTTACAATGGAAACTGCAACCGTAAATGTGGCACAAGTATTGCTCAAGGCCTCTTTCCCCCAGTTCTTCAATTGTATGAATGTCCACTGTGGTTTAATGTTCTGTTCTGACTGCAGCCTGACTGAAAGTTCAAGCTAGTGTTCAACATTCAGTAATCTCCTCTTTCCGTTAGCCTTCCTCTGCAAGGTAACCACCGTGGGAGAATATTCAGTCCTGGAGGGAGAATCCCTCTTAGTCCCCTGTCATTATGAGCCTCAGTATGCCAGCTATGTGAAATACTGGTGCCAGGGGAGCATGAGGGAGTTCTGCACCAGCTTAGCCCGTACAGATGACCCCCGTTCGGCCAATCCAGTTGAGGACAAAGTGAGCATTTTTGACGACCCGGTCCAGCTGGTGTTCACTGTGACCATGAACAACATGAAGGAGGGGGAGTCTGGGTGGTACATGTGTGGCGTGGAGGTAGGCGGTGTGTGGAGCGCTGATGTTGTCACTTTCACTAACGTCAAGGTCATTCATGGTGAGTAATGGAGTGATTTTGAATTGATGAACCGTAATGGATGCCTGAATGCTTATTACAAATGCAAGCTCTTAGCTGAAATTGATTCCCTTCCTGCAGGTATGTCAGTGGTGAACAGCCAAGTGAGTGGGGAGGAAGGGAGCAGTGTCACAGTCGAATGCCTCTACAGTGAGAGATACAGGTATTTGATTGTGCTTTTCATCATATTGCAATTGTGTCAGTTTTATTTACCATACACCGATCAGCCATAACATTGTGAGCACCGGGGCACCTTGACTGGTCTGCAGTCCCATACCAACAAACTGTGATGCGCTGTGTGTTCTGACACCTTTCTATCAGAACCAGCATTAACTGTTTCAGCAGTTTGAGCTACAGTAGCTCGTCTGTTGGATCCTGACTCCGGTTCACAACTTTTCCTTCCTTGGACCACTTGATGATGACCACTGCAGACCCCACAAGAGCTGCAGTTTTAGAGATGCTCTGACCCAGTCGTCTAGCCATCACAATGTGGCCCTTGTCAAAGTCACTCAAATCCTCATGCTGCCCATCTTTCCTGCTTCTAACACATCACCTTGAAGACAGAATGTTCACAAGCTGCCTGATATATCCCACCCACTGACAGGTGCCATGATAACCAGATAATCAGTGTTATTCACTACACCTGTCAGTGCTCATAATGTTATGGTTAATTGGTAGAGAATCCTCACTTGTATAATCCAACATTTATGAAGCAGTAAACCCGGTGAAACATGGTTATTTGTTTGGGATTTTCAATTCAAGCCACACTGTGATGGACAGTCAACCTTCACTGACTCCCCTGTGACTGCTTGTCAACAGAGAAATTGAGAAGAAGTGGTGTCGGAGTGGAGACTGGAGCTCCTGTGTGCTGACAGGTTCTGACGGGAGCTACGAAGACACTTCAGTGGCCATCAGCGATGACAGAACTAGGACTTTCACTATAACCTTAAAGGACCTGCAGTTGAGAGATACCGCCTGGTACTGGTGTTCTGCAGGACAGGAGAAGATAGCCGTGCATGTGGTGGTCACACCTCGACCCTCGACAAGTAGGTTGACCTTAAAACAAATTAGATCATAATTATTAGAATCTTTCTTTGCATTCAGTGGGTATCTAGACACTGTTAGTTAGTGAACCATTCCTATTTGATTCATTGCTCAAGCTGCACAAGATTTTTATTTAAAGCAGCATTATTTTTTTTGGCACTTGGTGGCCCCGGAACATGCAAACACAACCTTATTTACATACACATATTATTACTTTATAAAGTGAAAATGTAAGTTTTAGCAAACAGCCTATTTACATATCCCAGAGCAACATTAGCATTCATGTAGAATTGTAAATCTGTCCCTTTGGTGAATGTTGACCTTAGTCCAAAACTCTTTGTAACTTTTTTTGGTTTCCACACAAGCTAGTCAGTACCTTTGCTTGCCACATTGTGCAAGGCAGCAACCATACAGTAGGTACAGCAAGCTTTTAAACTGAAAGCAGCTGCCTGCTGTGGTTTGAAATTAGGTTCATGAGAGTGGACAGAATGAACCAAAACATACGTTAAAATGACTAAGAAACGACAACCATGTTAGCGGCTCTGGGAGGCTGTAACACAGTGGTGCTTTAAAATACATCCACATAAATAATTTATTTTTAAGACCAATTCATTTTTCATTAATTAATTTAGGCTAGTTTTTGTTTGGTGAGTAACATAAAGTGACTACAACTTGCATTTCCATGTACAACCCTGTGTTATAGAATGCTAAATAAATGAACACTGTATCTTGTCATTTGAATATTGCTCACTCTGGACCTGTTTTTGGACCCAACAGACTGACTGATGCTGCCATCCCTAGAGTCTACCGCTAGCATAGCTAAAAATACTGAGACATGCACCTTTCAAAATACAGGTTTTTATGACCCCAAAACATTTTTAGTCTGAAAAAACATCAGCTGAAATCTATTGATACTAGCAGGTGGACCAATCTCCCAATTCAAACTCCTGAATGTTATTGAAAACTATTTAAACCTGGTATTGTAGGTATGAAAAGAGGCACACTTTCCTGGACTATGTGGCCTTTTCCCCATGTCAGTTTGCGACTACTGAAATGAAAAGTGCAGCTTTAGAGATCAATATGTGTTTGTGACAGATGGCAGGGGCTCTTAGGTCTCCAGCTGTACAAGGTATTGATTATTATGAGTCACTTATCAAGAATATTGATGTTATGAACTGTGCAGGTGCTGTTACAAACACACACTTTGCTTATAGGAGTACATCATTTTTTAGCTTTGTGTGTAACATCTTCATCTACAGCAGCGGTGCCTACGACATCCCCACCAACACCAACTCAATCTGTTGCACACCTGCCCCCACCCATATCCATCACCATGGAGTCCTGGAACACTCACAGGTAAGAGTGAAGCACCTCTTTATGATTGTGGTTTAAACAGCCTTTTTTTTCTTACAGTATTTAATGTAAATCTATTCTTAAAACATTGGTCAGCAGTGGCAGTTACGCCATATGCACCTTATGGCTACTGCTTTTAAGATAAAACTCCTTCTGGGGCACACTGTCCATATTTGAATCTAAATTTACACATTAAACATAAAGCGTCAGTCCTTTACAACACCTTCCATGTTTGGTGTGATGCCTCTCACGCTATAAACCATTACTGATGCTTTTCTATACTGTCACGAAGGAGTTCATTCAAGGCCAAGCGCAGATAATGATCATATCATTCTTTCCCAGGAGTATGTATCTGTCATCATCTTGGCCGTCGTGTTATGTAAGAACAGATGCAACATAAGCCTGAGCTGCTCTTGAAGCTGTGTCTATGTGTCTGTGTTTTAGTCACATCTTGGAGACCTTGGTGGTGTGTTCTTGTTTAATGCTCCTCGTGGGCATGGCCATACTGGTGAGAAAGTTGTGGAAACTGCACAGTAAGGCAACTTCTCATTCCTGTGAATATTAAATAGTCAATCTGGGCAGAATAATTTGATTAACATCCTCTGAAATATTTTACATGCTTTAAATATATTTGGGTGAGATGTTTGCATTATTATCTGTGGCTTACAGATCATCCATATCTGGAGCAGGATCCAGTGCTGGGAGGAGTTAAGTTAGAGAAAGGAAGGATCAATGTAAGCCCCATAAAAATATCTGTCACTATTCTATTACACACTATTTAAAAATAAACACCATTTTCGAGGATATGCTTTAGCGATTATCATACTAATTTTTCTTTCTGTCTCCAACAGAATTACTCGGGGGATATAGGTAATTCTGCTGTCATCTTCCCGAACAGGCAATCCCAGGATGTACATATCGCCTGAGCCTAGTCAGAGCAGTGTATTGTTTCTTTTTGAAACCAAATGTAATTTTTGTGTTAGTTTACTGCACATGCACATGCTTTATTTCCACTGTCTTCATAACACCACATTTAAAGACATTAATGATGATTTCTGCTTGCTACTTTCTATATGCAACTGGTATAGGTTGAAGATCTTAGAAGTGTATAGTCTCCTGTAATTCAAATTTACAGAAATATAATCATGCGTACTTTGGTTAGAAGCAGTGCCGTAACTACCACTAAAGACACTGAGGTCATGTCAGAGTTTTACGCTTAAAACCACCGTACACATGGCATTTTTTAGGCCAGTTCCACAATTTCTTGTTCGGGTATATTTAAATTTAAATAAAAAATTTAAAATATATGAAAATAAAGGGAAAATAAAGTAGTAGTGCTGGATTATATAGGTCCATTATCTAATGGATCTATGGGGAAAAAAACGTATAGGGAAAAGAGACTATGTTTGTTATTGTCATTTGAGTTTAACTTGGAATAACTCATTTTTCGCCACGAATAAGCACACACAAGTGACCTTTTCAGTCAGTATGGCAAACTTTTTAGCTAATCACACATTCACAGCAGATGTGAAGAAACATTATCTTTCATTAGGAGTCGTGTCCCTCTGATGAATGTTAATACCTACTGTCGACTCTCCTTTTAAACGTGGTCTGATCTCCGCTAACTCCTGTGGGAAATATGTGGCTCTTTAGCTGCTGAATGCTCCACTATGTTTACTAACTTAGCAAAGTAGCTAACCATGTCTGTCTGCCATTTGGTACGAGAGTGAAAAGCTGCAGGCCATAAAACCAAAACACAGTAAAAATACGCTACAAAGCTAGAAGTAGAGCTGAGGGGAAAAGTAGAGTGTGATATGTACATTTTGTTTTCCAGAGGAATTTTGATTTGATGAGAAGTTATCAATGTGCACAGACCAAAATACCTCTGGACACAAATGGATGGACCTACAACCAAACAGCAACCAAACATGTGATGTAGCGCATTTGGTACATTAAACTTACCAATGGTCGGAGGTATGGCAAGCACACCTTTCTTATTAATAAAAGTTTAAAGTGCTGTTGTTTGTTCTAACTTTAGAGAAATATAACATCCAGCTTGCAAAAGAAACAGACACAACAGCGGCAGCCAATTGGTTGTGTACGAAAATGCCTCAATGGCCAATAAAGTTGCAGTTCAGCTACTGGATAAACCAAAAAATAAAAGAAAATAATAGAATAACTAAAATATGCAGAATACAAAATATTAAAACATTTTAGAAACTTTCTTTGTGTCTCTGGGGGTGCTGGGAGGGACATCAACTCATGACCTCAGTATCTAAAACCGTGGTTACAGCCCTGCTCGGAAGTCTACATATTCACAGTATGTAATGAATTGTATTTTAATTGTATAAACAGTTAAAGGGGAACTTTGCAACTATTTCAGCTTAATAAACCCGATAGAAATCATTTGGATGGTTAAATGGCCTGTTCCAATGAAAATGGTGACTTTCCCCGCTCCCCCTAGAGTCCCCAGGTGGAAAACCAACCTTGCAACTTTGGGATTACCGTCCCGTTAAGTTGGAAATAGGAAGTATCGTGAGAAGCGAGAACGAGCGAGAAACACAAACTGCTTTACGGCAATTCCACATAAACACACACGCCCCCCTCAATACCGGTTAGCCACGCCAGCTATAAGAACAAGCAACGACGAATGTATTACCCACCTCGGTAGACATTGCTCCACACGAAAAAGTTGCCCGGCAACAAATGCACATCAGCAGCGGTAGAAAGGGGGAGGAGGGTGCCGCAAGTGAGTTTTTTTACGACAGTGTTTTGAAATATACGTCCCAGAGCTGTAGGGGGAGCTCGCTGAGAAAACATGCGACGACAAAAGTGAAAACCAACGAAGAAATGGCTAGAGTTGCCAAGTTCCCCTTTAACACCAATCATGTTACTCAAGAAACAACATACCCTTCAGGTGTAGTGACTACAATGACCATGCACACTGACTACAGCTGGTTTAAAGTTGGTGAAAATTGTTCTCAGATCCAAACTGCTGTTTGTTGCCTCTGAGTGTTGCAAAGAAATTCCAATGTGAATTAATAATACGTGCAAGATGGTAAATCTGTCTGCATGAAAAGCCCGAGGGACTGACAGAAGAACATTTTCAGCTTTGGTTGATATTTTAGTAGAACTAGACTGCTAGGTTTATTTCATAACAAGATAACAATGATGGCTAATTATTACATTTAGGCATGAATACACTCTACAAATTGTAGAAGCAAATTCAGATACACAAACACTGTTGCGAGACGTACTTATTTTAAGAAAGAAGTGAGCAAACGAAGACAGGAACCATTAGGAGGAGTTCACAAATGAGAACAGCTCTACATTTCATGCTTGAACTGTCTGTTCTCGTACTGAATCTCAATTGACGTGTTAGAATTGTAAATTGAACAAGCTAATAAGACCACCAATACAGCAGTGGAACCAACTAGAGCTTGGAACTCTTAGTAATAACTTTGTCTCACCTTCATATGAGGAAAGGCCATCGTCTTGTTTGTGAATGTTTAGGAAAAATAAAATATCAAAGCTTCAGCGTTCCTTTGTGGTGTCATCTAGTGCTTTTTTGGTGGCTGTAAGTTCTGGTCTTTCATGAGCATAAAGCTGACATTGTATGATTTTAGTGTTATATCTCTCTTTATAATAGCCATATTACATGATATGTAAGGAAAAAAATGACTGCATAATATTGCCACAGAGGTCAGGACAAGAGACAACAACAACAATGGGTGGCTGCTGCAATTCCTTCTTTGTGCTCTGTGACTAAGGTAACAGAACAGCTTTTGTTTGATGATGGGTTTGAATTACAAGAAATGGAATTCTTTTAACCCTCCATTATGACCACAGTAAATTACTATTCTGCATTCAGTTACTTATTATGAAGTCGACAGAGTCATCTGTACATTTATTTATAATGCTATTCTTCCAGCATCTCTCTACCTGCGTGATAGAGCTCATTTGCTTTTGCAATCGTTACCTCAGGACACAGGACATATCTGTATCCTGTTCCCAATGTATGGATAGAAATGGGAAAGAAATGCCACGGTAAATGACTCCTTTGTTAATCACGTTTGTAGCTTACTTTAGCCTTGTTTTCATATGGTCAAATGCTTTTAGTATTATTTAATCTGGTTTTGAATGGTTTTGTCTGCAACTTAATGCTGCAGTCTTGGCCAGGTCTCCCTTACGGAAGTGGTTTCCAACCTCAATGGAGCTCAACTGGTTAAATAAATGTTAAATTAAAGGCTCCATAGAGCAAACAGCAGGGTAAAACGATTCTTTAAGATACCACGACATCATTAGTCATGCTATGTGAATAGGGATTTTTCTTTCATTTCATCCAATTATAATGAAACTTCTTTGTGTGAAATAACTTTTATGTCTGTAATTACTATTTACACTGTCCACTTATAAATACTTTCTTTTTAAAATGTCATGGCAAGTAGGCAATATGAAAGCCATCCCCTCATTAGCAAAATGACCAAAATACATCCCCTTTGTTAAGATGTGTTGAGGTGGTTTGTTATAAAATTGGTTGATACAACTACCAGGCTACTTCAGTATATATGGCATTGAATCATAATGCAAGTTAGACATTAGGATGTTCCGGACCTTTGCCTGAGGAAATTTTCTCTAAGTGGACATATTTGAACTTGCATTTAATGTCACTGCCCTTGTAGCAGAGAGAGTGTGGGGGCAGAAGGGTTGGCTGAGGTTTGAGTCCCAGAGTCCCATTCATGGCTCTGAAATATCAGTGGCCTAACTGTGTATTGATAAATCAATGGAGCTGTCCATGGTATTGAAGTAGCAGACAGATTTGTGCCTTTTCCTCTCAGATCTGCCCTTCTGTCAGTGTTGTCTTGAATCTATAATATTCTCCAAACCGAGCTTATAGTGCAGTACTTAAAACTGGTCTTTTAAGTAGGGTGCTCCAATTGGCCCATCTCCCCTGTTAGAAATGAACAAATTGCCTACTGGTCATAGTAGTTATTAATGGTAGTCCTCATTAATATAATAAATATTAAAATATTTGGTCATTTACAGGGGGATTTGTCATTTTTTATTCAAAGATTTGCAGTAAGACGTATGTTAATACTGATTAAATCATGTAAAGGGTTAGATAAAGGCAGAATGAACAAAATATTTTTTAGAAAGTCTATAAATTACCGACTATTTAGGGTGAAGCTGGTGTATATCTGCACTATCACCAAGATTTTTAAACATATTACGATCTCTAGGTGTGTTTTTAAAAAAAGAATGTTTGAATATACACTATATATTATATTTTATTTTACTATTTTCTTTTCTACTCTATTATTTTTCAATTATATTCTGTTCTATTCTGCTCTTTATAGGCCACTCTAGTCTAGCTGGGTTTCACCACTGTCTCGTTACAGGGACTCAGTCATTAATCTAAATGTGTTTCAAGCGGTATCATGTCTGCCACTAGATGGAGGTCAACCCTGTATGAAATATGTTCTTTCTGTTATGTATTGCTGGTGTGTGAGTGTGCCTATTCATGCACAAACATGTTTTTTTTCCTTGACCAAATACCACACATATTCTGTAGCACAATCTGAAGAAAAGCAAGAGGCTGTTGCTTGTCGCCACAGAGCTCTATACATAATACAGAATTTATACTTAACATTTTTGGTACTGTGTATGTATGTGGTGTTTTTCTATTCAATATGAAACCATTTCAATTCATGCCAGCGTCTACGTGCATTAGAAGTGGCATTTCTTTCACTGTTCCCTTGAGTCAACAATCAATACATTTGTGTTCACCTTGTGTGCAGCTGCTGCAGATAATAAGGCATCAGTGGGAAACATGGACGGCCAGGACGAAGGACAAGCGACTATTCTAGCCGTGTAACAGTTTTTATGAAGGCCAAGTGTTGCACAAGCATGCATAGCCTTCATTAAATACTGCACTGTTCTTGTTCTCCCAGACCCAATTGGACAGGAGGATTAGGATGGCTGTTAATTAGGACAAAAGTAACTTAATATTCATAAGTTACCTGAAAGCTTGAGATACTGATGCTTTGGGGATGATGGTGGCTGTTCATAAACCAATGTAATAGTAATAGCAGTATCGTTCACATGATTTATATTGTTTTTTTAATTGACTAAAATAGTAATTTATCCGCATGAATTTTTAGCATATTGGAAAGCAGGATTCATAATTTTAAACTCTGTCTTTGTTCTGTAGCTCTATCACAGGTCCATAAGCTGCGTGGAGAAAGAGGCATCATTTCCCTCAGTGTTTCTATAGTAACGGTAGATTAAAAGCAAAACACAAACAAAATGAAATGAAATGGTACCTACTTGCCAAATCCTGTTCAACCATAAGATCCACTCTGACTTACCAGAGTGCCTCCCACCCGCTGAGAGAGAATGACAAGGCTGCAAATGAAGGGCACAGATTGGTCCTGCTCTGGTGCTGCAAATCTCAAATCCCCTGTGTACATGATCTCACTGTTAAAGGTAGGAGGCATCACATGAAACATACAGTAGAAATACTGTGCTCCTACAGAATGATCTAATTTAACTGAATTCTGTTTTTTTCACGTCTGAACACACCAAGATTGGAAACAACAGCTAACAAAATGACTAAATGAATGAATTTTTGAGATGAGGATAAACATTTATTACAGTTTTATTTGCTTGATTTATCCTAGCTTTGACAAGGACCCAATGTGCAGCCTTTCATTCTGTAAGCAATAGTTTTGCATTTTTCTTAGAGCTAAGAGCATGGGAGTACTTTGAGACAGAGAGGAGCTGCTTTAAAGAGGACAATAACACCATATGCATGTACAGAGGTATTCAGTATAAGCTCATTATTTTCTGTCCGAAAAAGAAAATGCCGATCCTCTTTATGATACAGAAGAATGACAAAATAAAACCAATGGGGGATGTGGATTCCAGTGTGCTTGTGTGTAGTTTTATTAATGTCTTTAAAAGGTAAAACCAACACAGTTTTTCTTTTTCTTGGCACACATTGATTTTGTAGTCATTGAGGCCCTAAGATTAATCCCTGAGGTACAACACAATGCACCTTTCCAATGCTAATATGTTATTAGAATATAATATGTATTATTAGTGTACAGAGCCAATGAATGAGAGGAAGTCAGTGGTATTCTGCTAAAATACCAATGAGCTTTTCCTTGCATCTCAGGGGATGCTATGAGATTAGAATGCCTTTTTATTTAAAATGCTGCATGAATAAGAGCTTTTTAATGTCAGTTTGATTTGAGATATTTCAGTTTTGTGCTGCAGACTGAAGCCAGTAAGAAGAAAGGAAAATGCATATATACTGTCTGGGGTAAAGGGTAACTCTTTCTAAATCATAAGTAACTCAAAATAAGTACCAATCCAAATGTCATAAAATGTCACTATTATGATGCATCATAATGTCACTATGGTGATTATTATGTTGAGCATGAAAGTTCATTTTTGACCTTGGAAAAAATAAAATAAAATCTAAAGTTGTCCTCTCCGTGACAACAAAGCAAACTTGCTGATGAAGACAGTGAGATGAGGTTGAAGGAATAAGCAAGCAAAATGGTCCTTGAGTTGTGTTTTGTGTATTTGTGTTTTATCCCTTAAGGTTTAAGCTTTAAACATCCCAAGTATTCCAGCTAGCTCTGACAGGAAGTTTTGTAACCACAACAGCTTGTGCCACAAGAAGCACCTTGTTATATTTATTAACTTAATCTAACCAAGAAAGTTATATGAGAACATATTTTCCTTACAGTAACACTGAAAAATGGAACAGCAACAGAAATGACATAATAACTTTGGACAATGGAAACATTTAAAATTGATGTCTGGCATCACTGACATAATAAACCACTGAGTTATTGAAAGAGCACTTGAAATGATTGAATGGAAATAGCAGCTTTAAGAATGCTAAACATAAGACATGTTATCTTCATTACATAAAGTGTCACACAGACTTCTGATTATTACAAAGCAAGCACCTTTTTGCCATAATGACATTATGATGTGCTATAACTATGATTATAATGTGATACACATTCATTTTAGGTTCCTCTGACATTTAATTGAGCTTAAGCTGGATTCCTTAAATAATAGCAGAATAGCTGCTTCCAATTGAAACAGTCATGTAAAATGCCAGAGGAAAAGAGACTATTTTGACTGTTTTACTGATGGGGCTATGTCAGGATTCAGCTCCCTCAACAATGAGGATTGTGATTTTAAATGTCATTTCCAGCATGAAGCAGCATTCCTGCAATGTGGTCCAACTGGGTCAAGAAGCATTGTGCTCTCATCGTCTTCAGAAAATGCATAACGATAACAATGGGCACTGAGCGTAGACAGAAGCCTATGTCGCATATGACGTTGACTATCTCTACTTTCCTAAAAAAAGAAGGAGACAAACACTGGAACATTCACCATCTATATTCCCCAATTTGCCAGTTTCCTTGCACATCAGCCAATATGAACATCAAAAGATAGTTTCTGAAATGTTTGGGTCTATTTTTAATTTTAGCAGAGACACAATGCACAAAGTGGAACTT